TCACCCCAATTAAGAAACTTTACTTTTATTCTAAATGTTTTCAGTACCATGCAGAATGTAATACAGGTGGAGTGAGCTGTGGTTTGTTCAACCAGATAGTTATAACTCCTGAACTGAAAAAAAAAAGATTATTTGTCCTCTGTTGTAGCAGAGCTGCGTTCGCCAGCACAATCTTTCCACTAAAATACCAGCTCTCTGTTACCTCTTTGTTCCAGTCTGCTCCAGTTAACAGAGTGTGAGCAGAAGATGCGCGCCCCGGATGCTGTACATATACCCCAGATTAGTGGACAGATAGCAGAGTCAAGTTGAACCGTGATACTGAGCAATACTTTTTAAACAGAGATATTAAATAAAAAATAATAAAACACAAACAATAGTATATATTATTAAATGCTAAATCCAGCTTTGATTGGCCAGTACGAAGTTCTAGTTAATCTCAGGTTTGATCAATTCTAAATTTAGCTTCAGGGTCTTTGACAAATGTAAATGACTATTTTTCCATTTCATTTCATCTAAAAAGCAGAACAGAGAAAATAGTGTTCTTGATTTCTTGATAGAGTTAAATCCAACAAAATCAAAATTTTAAGGATTCAAAATGATCCCCATTCATTATCTCTATTCTGAGGAAGATTAAACATGATGATGTCCAATTCAGAGATAAACTCAGATCATCTGATAAAAATGTAATATTACATTTTTTTGGCACATATAATAAAGATAGATAAAAATTCTCCTTTGAAGGATCTCATTTCTTTATGGTGCATTTTTAGAGCAAATACTCCATTTTTTTTGTCCCCCAAAAATTAAACAATGAAGACTTCATTGCTGCACAAATCTTTCTACACCTTAGCAAGATTAACGACCAACAAACTGTTCAAACAGTCCGACAGTTAAATCTAATTAGATCATATCCTGGGATTTTGATTTCCCTTATATACATATATATTTTTTTTTTCCCCCCACTAAAATGAAACAGAAAAAGCAATGTTTTTTCTGACTGATCAAATGAATGATTCGGACTAAGAGCTCTATTTTCTTTGGGTTTATCTCCATGAACCGTTTCTGCTTAAATTGGAGATTGAAGCCAGATAGCGTAGCACACACACATGCTTCGATGGCAACTCATTAAGAACTTTCACACCTTCAGCGACAACCCCAATGTCATACGGAGGCTGCAGAATGTCCTCTTCACCTCTGATGACAAACGCAGCTGAAATCCCTGCTGAGGCAAGCTAATGGTGGACAGGTGTCAGCATCCAGATAGGTGGGTGACATCATGTGGTCACATGACACCATCGCCTTTGACTTAAGCACCAATTCACTCGCATGCTTTTTTTATTGTGAGTGATTTTTAATTTTAGGCAAGTAAAGTAAAACGTTTGCAGATGTTTTATTTTTTCAGTGTATTTTGACAAACAGAGCAGCTGCAGACTAAGAAAATCAACATCTTATTATGTGAAAATCTGCCTCTTGTCCAGTTGTCCCTCATTATCTTCCTCAGGACTGCGCTGTTTCCTGTCCCTTTAGGGTTTATGTTCATTATCAGCTGATTACATCACAGCTCCCCGTTCTGTGCTGTACAGACGCAGACCCAGTCTAGACCAAATACCCTCATCTCCCCTGCTGTATTTATTTTTTTATTTTTTTTGTCAGTCATAACTCAATCACAGCTCTGTGCTCCTTTCCTGCAGCTCCTGACACATTCAGCTCCCAGTGGAAGCATCTGAGGTGTTGTATCGGTAATATCAAGGGCAGCTTCAGCCTGCGGACTGCAAGGCAGGTTGTCAGAGGGAAGGTCACTAGTTCACAAACTGCGACTGGTTGGGAAAAATCTGGATGACGGGCCCTGTGGCAAACCACTTAACCCCTGATCGACCCATCGCCACAACGGATCTTCTTTATCAGATTTAGAGGATTGCTACTGAAGCTTTGAGATGCCCGTCGTGGCTGAACTGAAATGCCTTTAGATGCAGATCTGCAGGTTTGAAACATGTTGCAGCTGAAGTCCTACATTATTTCCACAAGTTTAGATGTTTAAATCATAAAATTAGCTGATGGATGTGATGCTATGAGTGAGGTGTTAGAAGGAAGGAAGGAAGGAAGGAAGGAAGGAAGGAAGGAAGGAAGGAAGGAAGGAAGGAAGGAAGGAAGGAAGGAAGGAAGGAAGAAATCTATGTATTTTGTGTCTGATGTAGAGGATTGTTGCTGAAGCTTTGAGATGCTTTGAGAGGAAGGAAGGAAGGAAGGAAGGAAGGAAGGAAGGAAGGAAGGAAGGAAGGAAGGAAGGAAGGAAGGAAGCAAGGAAGGAAGGAAGGAAGGAATCTGTATTCTGTGTCTGATGTAGAGGATTGTTGCTGAAGCTCTGAGATGCTTTGAGAAGCTTTGAGAGGAAGGAAGGAAGGAAGGAAGGAAGGAAGGAAGGAAGGAAGGAATCTATATATTCTGTGTCTGAAAATTATTTTATTCTTAGCAGCCAAAACCTAAAAAAATGGCTGCTGTGACAGAATCAGTCAGAAAATGTACTTTTTCTTCTTGCAGTAGGTGCGTCACAAACGTATGACACCCCTGTTCACATCTGTCACCTCTTGATGTGAACATGTTCATCTGGTGCTTATAATGAGATAAGAGAACCATTGATTTTAGTGTGCAATACCTTTAATGCACTTCAAACATGCATGAGTTTTAGATTATTGCCACAGAAATCCTTCTGTTTCAGAAAATAATGAAGAACAGAAAATATTCCTTAGGCCCCCCTCAGATCTCTGCTTTCTCTTGTAGTTTGGGTTCTAGAAATGTTCCTCCTCTTCACTTTGTCATCTGCAGATATTAAACTATAACTTTGGCTTTTCAGACACAGAACCTTTAAACAACAATTAATCTATTAGCTATTGCTTAGTACTATTAAATAATCATCATCTACTTTATATCATTTAATAAGGTGATACCAAAATGTCTTCTTGGTGCAGCTTGTAGCACAGAATGAGAACCAAAGCCTTCAGGCATTTAGGTGTCCCTCAGGGTTCTAATCTGGTTCCATGGTAGGCTCCTATCTATCAGCATTTATCTTTTCACTATCCAGAACCTTTCTGCTGCTCCTGCAAAGAGGCAGCAGACACACTCCAGGCTCTCTGCTTCCCATGTGAGAGCAAAGACTCTGCCTGACATCAGACATGGGAAGCGAAAGGCAGCAGCAGCGTGAAGGGTAAAAGGTCGAAACTTGACCACCCCAGGCAGATAAAGCAGCCTTTTCATGTGTGATCGGACCACCGCCTGAAGACAAATCCCTCAGTTCGCTGCCTTTGAACTTCACGGCAAATGGAGCAAGTCCCTCCCCGCACGGCTGCTAACAAGCGCCACGAGACTGTGAACTCACCTTGTTATATTTTGCTCAAAATCTTCACCATTTTTTCTGTTTTTTTTTTTTTTTTATATCATCCTCTTTCATTTGAAGCTGAATGAAATGAAACCTGCATGTTAGAAACACATGCTCTTTCTGTAGGGACACTAATGAGGTGATCCAGATAGATTCCATTAACCTTAGTCGAACCCTATGAGCCAGTCAAAAGGCAGAAGATGAACAGCAGAAGGATCAGGGGGAAAATGTGTATCTCCTGCTGCCATGTGTGGATGTTCCTTGTGAGAATTAGGCTCAAGCGGCTCCTGTTCCCCTTCAAAGTTTTCCGCCATAAAGCAATAATGGCGCTCATAACACCTTCTTCCTGCCTCCCTCCACTCTTTACCAGCAGTGCATTATTCATAAACACCTTATCTAAGCCAAGCCAATCGCCTTCTCTCTAAATGAGTGCGCCCACAGCCGCACAAAAGGAATGTCAGTCTCATGACAGACAGTTTGGAGTTCTTTGTTTCAGGAGAAAGGATGTAAATAGAGGGCGTTCTTCTTCTGCAGCTCCCCCAGGTAGAGCGCAGAGCAAACAACGCAGAGGAGCCGCTGTTGTGTCTGTGCTCGCCTCTTTCCTGGGGCTTCGGCTGTCGCGCCGCCGCCGGGCTTCTCGTATGTGTCTGTGTGTGTACAAACAGCCTGTATGCATATATAGATCTCTATATTTAAATCTGAACTACAAATAGTAGCAACAGGGCCTAAAACGGTCCATGGCTCTGCTGCCGTTTATTGGTCTCCGCTGTTTGATTCATTGCGGAGTGAACTGAGTTTCTCTTAAACACTTTAGGCTTTTTTTGCTGCCTTTTCAAAAATGGAAATTTATGATGTGCTCTGTTTTCTATCCAGCGCCGTGGTGCATCTCCAAACACCCTTATTTCATGGTTGCTTAGATGGTTTGATATGTTTCTCTCTGCTGGTTTTCCTGTGGAATTAGGTCAGTGTTCATTTTGGACAATAAGATATAATGCTGTTCCATTGGTCAGCTCATATGTAAATAGCCAGAGGAAGGCCTGGAAATGTGCCCACTCATATGTTTCTGCAGACTTCTCATTTCTCCCTCCCGAGATGCTAAAAGATTTTTTTTTTTGGCAGCTCCTCCTAACTTCCATGCATGCAGGATTTGCTGCCCTCCTGAAGCAGAATAAACCTTCTCCTGCAGAGATGTTCTCGTAAAACGGGAACCGTGCAGCATCCACGCACTCCTTTGTTGTGGCTCTGATCGGGGAATCACATTCGGCGTGTCAGGCGACCCAGGCTGGGCAGCCGGTAGCCGTGGGCGACCAGCAGATCAGTGATGTGGCGGTGATGCCTCTAATGAAGCTGACACAGCACAGCCTCCCTCCTCGCAGACCCCTGAGGGCCTTGTGCTCTGCATGAGGCACCACAACATCCCCACCATACCCAATCTACCCTCCAATTCAGCCAAATCCTCCTCCGATCTGATGTGTTGCTGCGTCATTTATTATACGTTTAGGTTAAGGCAAATTGAGTGCTAGTAGTAGACAAATTGGGTCACAGTAAACAAACACAGCCTCTTTCTGGCCTTTCTGGCCCAGAGTCGCTCTCTTAGTCTGATGAATGTGTTTTTGTTGTTTTCCAGGAGCTGCCCAGCTGAGGTGAAGGGGAGGGCAGAAGATCCCAGTGGAGCGTTCATGACCTGTCCGCAGAAACGGGACCATGAACTGAGAACGGTGCAGGGCGCATAGAACCCCGTTTTCCTCTCCTCCTTGTCCCTCTCTTTTTGTTATTATTTTGTTTTTTCCAGTCTGAGCAAAAAGCCTCTCTGCTCAGGTGCTTCAGACAGTCAGGGTGCACAGAAAGGTCAAACTGAAAACAAGTAAACATCGAAAGAGGAGGGAAACACATCCACAGCCATCTGTGACCTCACACACATCCTCCCTACTCCTCCCAGCGCAACAGCAGAACCATGGGGAGGAAAAAGATCCAGATTCAAAGGATCACCGATGAACGCAACAGACAGGTCAGTGCTGGCCGACCGATCAGAATATGAACAGAATCCGACCCAAACTGAAGCTGTCAGATCAGGATGTCTTGCAGTTTTTCTTCAGATCCTGTAATCTGGCCCTCATCCTCCTGTATGTTAACCTGACTCCGCCAGATGGATTTGCTCCGCATATCCATCTGGAAACCTTCCGTTGAAGTAATTTTGGGAAGGGGCGAAAATTCTGGTTAGCTGATTGGCCTATGTTGGTGATAGACGGGCCAAATAAACCAATCAGATCAACGAAGCATATGGAGTACTAACAGAGCGACGATGAAAACACAACCACAAGCCAGGCTACTCTTGCCGAAACCAGTCAGGAGAAGAGCAAAAACATCTTTTCCTCTGAGAAAAGCCTCCAGAGCAGTGTTTTGCTCTTCTTTCAGTGAAGAAATACTCTGTAATTCTGATAAAACTTGCTCGATAGCCACGCTAACGCTAGTTTCATCGACTGAAGCCGCCATGTTCTTTAGACTGAACTGTCGCGCTTCTCGTTGCGTCACACCTCAACCTCAAATTTTCTTTAACGGAGAGTCTCCAGACTGATCTGCGAGTGAAACCTTGAAAGCTTGCGAGATCAGGATGGTCTCACGAGGCTACCTACGCATGGCTGAGGTTTACTGGTGGTAATTAGAAATGTAGTTGATGTATTTATCTGGATGGATCTAAACATAAGTCAAAGAAATTCCTAATATCTGTGTATTCACCCTTAATTAATCAGCTAAAAGAGATATTCTAAAAAATCAATATACGATCATAAAGTTCTTTATTCCTATTTCAAAGATAAATCATCTTATTTTATCGGCAAATCATCCTATTGCTCGAACTTTTTGAAAAAACAACACTTGATACAGAACAAGAATTTAAAAACATATATTTAAATTTATGTTTTTTTTTATTTTTTATTGAAGCAATCCCTTAATTAACACATATGTGCTTTAAAAGAGTAACAGGACCTAAAACAGTCCGTGGCTCTGCTGCCGTTTGTCGTTCTCCACTCTGATTCCATCGAGTGAACAGACTCTACATTGTCTAAGAATTTGGAAAACTTTTCTGTTGTAGCAGCTTTCAATTCAACTGAATGTTCAATTATAATAGTATTGATGATAATTAATGCATAAGTAGTTAATCAAATATAGTTCTGCAGATGCATGTTTTGTTCTTTATCATTAAAGCGTAATAAAGTCAATGAGATAGTTTAAAAGTTTATATTTTTGTACAGGTGGCAGCCTTCAAATGGGTTTGAAACAGGCATGAAGCTGGGAAATATTGCTTTTGCAAGCAGTTTAACAAAAATAAAACAGATGTTGAAATATAATGAGACAGGGGTCTCACTATTCTAGTATAATCACCACATTTCTGTGTGGAAAAGAAACAAAAGAATGCAAGTGAATTCAGTATAACATTGATCAAGTAAAGAATGTGTTATTAAAGAAAGCCAGCTATCAATCAGCGTTGATGATTTGAGCTTCTTTAGACTAGATCCTATCTCTAAGGGAGAGCCCAGATACACTACGGAGAAAACTCATATCAGCTGCTTGTATCCTGGATCTCATTCTTTCGGTCATGACCCAAAGCTCATGACCATAGATGATGGTAGGAACGTAGATCGAGCGGTAAATCGAGAGCTCTGCTTTTTGGCTCAGCTCTCTCTTCACCACAACAGACGGTACAGGGCCCGCTGCACAGCAGATGCCTCACCAATCCGCCTATCGATCTCCCGCTCCATCTTCCCCTCATTTGTGAACTAGACCCCAAGATACTTAAACTCCTCCACTAGGGGCAGTACATCCTCCCCAACCTGGAGAAGGCACTCTTTTCTCGCTCAAGACCATGGTCTCCGATTTGGAGGCACGGATTCTCATCCCAGCCGCTTTGTACTCGGCTGCGAACCAATCTAGTGAGAGCTGTAGATCTAACCCTGAAGAAGTCAACAGAACCACATGATCTGCGAATAACAGAGATGCAATCCTAAGGCCACCAAGACAGATCCCCTCAACACCTTGGCTGCGCCTGGAAATCAGTTGGATACATTTTGTTTCTGCATAACGGCTAAATCACTGAAACATTTAGCTTTTAGTTTCAACATTTCTCTAGAGATTTAGTTGCTCATTGCCTCCTCTCTCCTCTTAGGCTGTGTCCAAATGTCTGCCCTAACCTCAAACCCCTCATCACTGTATAGAGCGGGGACTATTTAATGGACTTGATAGTGAACTCAGTTAACTGACCGTTTGGGCAGATGATCACTACGGCTCGTCCTCCATCTTTGTTCTCTCCCATCAACAAAAACAGGTCCCATGATGCTTTGTGAGCTCTTGCAAACATTCTTGGTTATGTCTGCTCATCTACTGACCATCGATGTACGCTACTTTTCAAGGTGCATTGTGGGAAATTTTTAGTTCTTTTCTTTTTCATCAAATAGACATTCGGACACACATTTTAAATGGCAGACGTCCAGACACAACCTCAGTCTGGGTAATCAAGGCATGCTTAATCCCCGCCCACATTGTTGCTCCTCAGCCAATCGGTGTCCATTTCAGCTTCCTGTTCCTTCCTACAGTAGACGTTTCTCCCTGTCGTAGAGAAAGTTGCTTTGACAGATCAAGTTGTAGTAATGCACTCTATTAGATTGCAAGTTAAGTTATGAAATTACCAATATGTAACAAGTAGTTAGAGTATTTTTTAAATGAAAAACGGAAGAGGATACTTACCCTGTTTATGTAATCCTGTAACTCCCAACACTGGTTGAGGTTTACCTGTAAGCATATTAGTATGAAATAATGTTGGAGGAGCAACTTGTTTTAGGAAATCAGGATAAAGACCGCATAGGAGTCCTTACATCCAAACACTACATGTCCACAAAGTAGTATAACTGCTTCTGCACAGCATTTAGAAAGAATTACTAAAGGAAAGTGTTGGTATTGATTGTCTGCACCCAGTAACCAGTGGATCACTTTCAGATAAATCAAGCACATAGCAGATCACGTTACCTCCTGTGAACTTTTTAGACTAGACTGTAACATTGCAGCCATTCAATAGTGTGACAGCAGTACGATGAAATGAGCCCGTTTTCCACAACGGCTCATATGATTCTGCAGAGATGCTTGATGCAGTTGCATAAAAGACCACAAACCCCTTTACCCCCCCCCCAAAAATACAGAAGAAAAATCATCAAAAAGCATAACATCGCCCCAGTGGCTTGTTACATCAGTGGCATTGTCGGAGAAGATGAAAGGGTAAATGATCCATCTAAAATGAGTCAACTGGTAAATGGGCTTCGCTCCATTGAGCAGATTGAGTAATGGATTTGACGTGCCCACCTTCAAAACCAGAAAGAGAGAAGAATGGATGAAAAATGGAGATAGAGAGAGTTTTAAAGACAAACATTGTGAAGTCGATGTAGGGTTGGAAAATCAACCAAGTTGGTGATATTTCTATGAAAAGAGAGAAAAGAGTTTTTGCTTCTTTTCTGTTCATCATCAGTGGTGAGCAGGGACTGGCTAATAAAGTTTGTGTTTCAGTTTATCAGTAATTTAATGCTCTCTGTGGGAATATATGATCAGGCCAATAAAAGCACAAAATGAGCCTGAACCGAGTCAACACCACGCTTTCATTTCACACTTTTTTTTTTTCCTGTTTGTCTGATGTTATGCACCGGCGGTGACCTAAACAGCAGAACACGATTTTGTTTTTGACATTTAGTTTGTAGAGAGAAACATAGTGTAAAGCTGCTAAAGAAAAGAGTATTTCTGTACCCTGACGCTGTGTTGCTTCATCTAATGAAGAGTGCAGCTTCTGAAAGGAAATCAAATGAATTTTTTTTTGGAGAACATGCAGCCCGTCACCCTCCTACATGTTGATTCGGAGAGGCTGCCATAAGCTCCACAAAATAAACAGCATTCAGAGTGTGGGCCCCAGCTGGAAACATGACAGCATCTCAAATACCACGTTTCTTATTATGACAAAGACAGAAGAGAGAACAGAAGTGGTAACGTTCAAATCCCCTGATGGATTTTTTTTCATATTTATGTATGTAAATTGTGAGCAAAAATATATTTTTTATTCCTATTGTGAGAAATTTTAACAAGAAGACCTGGTAAAAAGTATAAAAAACATATCCTGAACCAGCAACGATATCTATCCTCAGAGCTGATAAAGGATGCCAAGAAAGGCATGAAATATATGTATGGAATGAGACATTTAACAAGAAAAAAAAGAAAATCTTTTGGATTCGTTTGGACAGATTTGCTAACCAAAGCTCATTAGAATCTGTCCTCAATCTAGAAAAATGAGATTGATTCGCTGTGGCAACAAGCTAATAACATGTGGATGTAAACACAAACATGCCAAGATCATTTCAGTAACAACCAAAGCGATCTTCCAAGATCAGCACTAATTAGCATGAGGTTGCGATACATACAGACCTTATGGTAATCATGTGTGGGTAATTTATGGATAAGAGATGCTTATTTGTTGTAATATGACAACTTCAATAGGCTGTAGATCCAAAGGTTACTGGTCTACCTAGGCAACCTATGCAGTTGCCTGATACAACTTTTTTTTGTTGATGACATAACCAGATGAGTCTATGTGCCCCTAATCTTTCTAACTGCTGAATAAGAAGAGTTAAATGTTATGTTAAAGGCATACTATGCAACATTTTTCAGTTAATTAATGTGTTCCATAACGTTTTGGATGATTAAATGAGTCATTTCAGGTCGAACAAAGGTTTTCTAGGCCGCCCTGGTGGTCTGTAGGGGAAATACCGTACTTGCAATTGCAGGAGCCCTCGGCCCGCACCCACAGGCTCAGAAGTCTCGTGCATCGCGAGAGTCGCTCTTGCTTTACGGCGAGAACTGCTACACGCCCCCAGTGAAAGGCATGCTCGTTGCTAGCGCAGTGGCGATATTTGTGCAGTTATCATGGCGGAACCAGTGAGAAAACAGCAAAAGCACACGCATAACAAATAATGTAAGAAA